GATAGCATAACAGTTTAGCGCACGTTTGGTTAAAGGATCGGCTTTACTTGTCTCTTTGACGAGTTGTAATATGGTACTACGAATGGTAAAACTCACTGACGGTGCCGGCGAAACGTCTGGAAATGTACCGCGTCCACGGTCCGACTTTGAAAATAATTATGCATACATAGGACTCAGGTAAGGTGCGTTCCCATTAGTCTTCCTACCAATATGACCAAGTTGCGAAATCCAGGTCAAACAACTTATATTAAAAAGTTTTGCATATACTTTAAATTAGTCAAAATTGACTAGCACAATAACAGGATAGCCAGTATAACTAGATATTGCCAAAAACGAGAATAAGGAACATTATAACAGGATAATTTTTATTGTTAATGCGACGTCGAATCAGTATAAAGGAGTTAGCTTATATTAGATATGTGGTTGAGACTTTTTGTAAATACAATTTAGGAGCGCCATCTAATACCGATGTATGAGCCATTTATGATGACGCATCTAAGAGTGAAATCAAGAAGTATCTCGATTTCCCCAGAGAATGTCACCCTGTTATGAAAGACTACTCGCATGCATATTAAAGGTAGACCTTTGGTCTTTTCTTGACTTGGTAGCATCGAAACCCCGAAATACATTCTAACTACGAACTCATGTCTTAGGCTAAGAAGCAAATGAGGATAGTAGTGAAAAAAGCAAGGTCTAAAATAGGGTCTGTTCCGAATATAGAACAGCCAAATATTATAGCAAAATCGAAGCAATTCTTCTGACATTAAATGTCTATCAAATTGTTGCTTTGGATACCAATCAGCCAATTGTGACCCATTAAACCTAAAAAAAGAATCATTCTTACTATGGAAGGGAGTAACAAGGCAAAATTAGCCTTTAGCGGATACTTGGTAAACTGAGGCGACCTAACTTGTCGCCTCACTGCCTTAATTATGGTGCTCACTATTCCTAAGATCCGAAGTGAGGACGTCAAAGTACCTTATAAAGGATCCATAAAATATCTTAAGCTTAACACAAATAAGCTGGTGAATACTAATATATTTATATATATGACAGCAATACAGACGACAAGTGTATTGGCATTGACAACGTTCGAAATCTACTAAAAGTAAAGAGGCATCGCATATTTTCTGAGGCCTAGTTGGCTATATTTTCTAATGGTAGAAATTTCAAGAGATGGGACAAACCTGAAGAATGGCCGATTGGTCTCTCACTGATATGGTGCTGGCCTTGAGAAAGAAGCGATGCCGAATAACCTTGCTTGAGTGGAGTCTGAAGAACTTGACTATGGCCAGCTAATGAAGATAATCCAGGCGCACCAGCCAAAAAAAGATGAGGGCTGGATGCGTATCGGCCAGCAATTTGTGGCGGGATTTCAGAGTTGGATGGTGTATGAACAACTCCACGTTTTACACACGCGGAAAGGCCCCCAATCGAGGAAGCTGGCCAAAGCCAATCTGGAACCTCAGGCAAAGAGGAAAGAGAGTCAACAGCTCCGGCTCCAGAAGCCCTCGAATCTATGAGACCAGGACCGACAGGTTGGCAGATGCCGGAAGTCTGGCGTGATTTTAGGGTCGAAGATGCGATTCCAGTGGAGCCGGCCAATTCAGGAAGACAGAATGGCCATGGCAGGCCACGTCCTGAGCCCGTAGGATATGCCGAAGTGCCATCAAGAGACGGTCGAGATCCTACCATGACAGAGGAGGCAGAGGATGATGCCATCTTACAGCGCATCTGGGGTCCGAGGCGTAGCTGGTCGATTGTTACTTCAGCCAATGCATGCTTGGCCAACAGGTTGTCATAATACGTTTGAAGCTGTCGTATGTATTGATCTTGCTCCTTCCGGAGTGCGATCTCCTATAAGAGTAAATAAAAATGTTCCGAACATAGGAAAATGGCCAGGAAGTATGGAAATGTGATTAAAGAATCGTATATGAAACAAAACTTCATATAAAGTAGTTAAGCTATCGAGTTAATATAAACAAAAAAACCAGTTCTAAAGAAGTTACCACAGTAGTAAAATGAAATTAAATAGCAAAGAAGGAATAGACTGTGGAGAAAAAATAGAAAAGACAAAGGTTTGTAAAGTATGTGAGAAGTAGAATAGTTTGCAGAATATAAAAAACTATACATATTATAAATATATGCCTGGTGTAAAAAGAAATTAGTAACTACGTGGTAAGAAAATGGGCGGTTTTATGGATTAGATAAAAAATCTTTACTATTAAATTAGGTTCAAGAATTTCTCAGTGACTTATAAGAATCAAATTTAACAGACCACAAGTTATTTAAACGGACTTTTTAAATAAATTAAAAGACAAAATTTTTCTCAAAATTGGAGAAGTTCGGGAATAAAAATCTGTATTTTGAGTGCTCTGCCCCAACCGAATGACAAGGTAGCTCAGTGAATGCGTGAAAAAATGAAGAACATGGAGTACATTAGATGTCCATAATTAGCAAAAGTAACCTTATGTATACATAGGATCTATAGCATCGCCAATCAACCTATAAAGATATATTATTTTACATGTATAGCAATAAAACAATTGTTGATCGATTTCAGTAAGTTTTGAAATTTAGTCGAGCGCATTCTAGTTAGGCCAATAAAATGGTCTATAATTCAATTAGAAAGATGTCCCAAAAATATTCCATATGGCTTGTTATATCAAATACTTAAAGAAGGCTTAGCATAATTAAAATATGCTCAGTGATCTGAATTAAAAGTAGCTCATACGAATGCAAAATCTCCGTTCAGTTTCTAAATCCCTTAATTGCACGTAGTTAAACAGAATGAAAGGGCAAATGTTAAATTCATGCAATATATGCTAACTTAAGTGCTTTTCACATATCTTGCTGGTATGAAAAATGTGTCAGAAAACAACTTCACATAGGGTCTCAGTTATAATTGACATTAGGCTTGAGGTAGTATACGTCGTGGTTACAAGCCACAGCAAATATAATGCAGTTCGTATAAAATCCAGATGGGATTCAAGACGAAAACTGGTGTCAAATGAGTGTTCAGGCTAAGAGATAGATTTAAACAATGGAAAATTTTAGACATACACGAAAACAAAATTCTTAAACATGAATACTTCAAAGTACTTACAAATAAAAAGTAAATGATACTTACGGTGAATACAAAATCATTAAAGTAAAATATGGCAATTACAGCTTATTATAGAGCGCTGGGGTACATTTATAAAAATAGAGAATGAATCTATGCATTTTAGGCATTAAGACTACATTGGGGGAAAAAGAAAAAGTACGCTTGACTCCTTTATCAACCTCATTTAAGATGAGGAGGAAATCGACCAATTTTTCTTTTTCATGAGACCAGAGTGTGAAGTAATACATATAGGGCATGAACTCTGGTCGCATGGAAAAGTTAAATTAGACAATTCCGTGATCTTCTTAGACAACATGAAATAAAATGTCAAATTCACAATGGATGTGGGAGAAAGGATACTTACCTTTCTCGGATGTAGAGGTCATTAGCTCGAAATAAATCTCAAGTAGGAATAATCTTTAACTTCCGATCTCAAAATACTTATAGAATAAAAATTATATATTCAGCTATGATTAACCGATTGAGTTCTAGAAAGATGAACTAAAAAAGAAACTCGGAAATTTCTTGGAAACGAAGCAGTACCACGCAACATACGGATCGTGATGAGCAGATGGCAGGATCGGAATTATAAAAGGAAAGCAAACAAACAGAAAAGTTTGGAAGCTGCGGTCGCTAATATTGAAATTGAACGCTTTTACAATCCTGAAGGAACGGACAGCCCTCTTTATTGGTTTTTCCAAACGATAACAGTGAAGAGGATAGAAGAATAATCAGCACAAAGATCAAAGAACATTAGCGACTATGCAGAACAATGAACACGGAAATATCGGAGATAGCTGAGCACATTGCCCTGATCGGCCACAAAATCGACTGGAGATTAACGGAAAGACTAGCCTCATATGGAGAGGACACAAGAAAACGGAATATCAGAAAGGTCGTGGGCATCTTCTTTCAGAAGAATCAAAGGAACAGTATATTGGAAGAAGGGTGTGCGAGAATTTGGCGTACTGCCTGGGCAGACTTGGAGATTCAACGAGAATAGCTAAAATACGCTTGGAACAAGGATATCTATTCAATACTGGAAAGAAACATCACCAAAAAGAGGATTATGAGGGACAAAGGGAAATAGCGATTTCAATTAGAAGATTCAAGCCAGGAATCAGCTTGAAAAGATATAGATGTGGATTCAAGTGTTGGATAGGAAATAAAAAGCCAGAAAGATGTAATGCTAGGCTAAAGGTCTAAGTTCATTTCAGGTTTATCGGGATGTGGAAACCGAGCTGGGGAGCACAATATCAGTTGGTCCACGTTCCAACGCTGGTATTTATGATGCTTGCTACAGCAGAAGACTTCGGACAAGGTACGCTTAACAAGGTCGCCCTGGCAACACGGCCAAGTTGCTAAATCGAGGTCAGAGCACTGTGTATCAGAGAGACTGTGACAAAAATAGAGGCCACAACATCTTGGTCTTCATATCTACGATGCCAGACAGGCCTCCAGAAGGAGTGCAGCATTATGTATGACATAAATATGGACGAGTGATGCCAGAACGTAAAACATAAAATTGACCAAAATTGACAAATTTCAACTCTATGCTAAGAAAGACGCCTCTCACTGACAACACCGACTACAATTCCGGCGAAAGATCTTGGGATGCACCAAGTCAACGGCCTGGTGCTGGAAATTATCGTGAATATTGGGGCACAGGACGCAGAACAAGGTACGTTCCACAAGGTCATCCTTTCGCTTCGAACAAGTTGCGAAAATGAAGTCGAACCAATACTATACAGCCAAAGGAGACTTCGACTAGGCAAAAAGCGACGCCATCTTGGTCTTCATATATAGGAAAGTTTTAAATGCATTCAGGTTGTCGATATTAATGAAAAAGAGAAACAATGGAAATGAAATGTGGTACCACAACTTTTAACACTTCTGGGCCATAGTAAGGGGATGATTAACCATGATTATGACAAAAGTAGCATGAAGGCAAAGTAATATAATATACAGACATAAGAATGCCTGAGCCGGCTTATTATTCATAATAACTGCTCGTATTTAATGCTGTGGCCCACCTCTAGGAGTGCTGTGAAATCACATTTTAAGTGCCCTTTTCTCTCTCAAAGCAGAATAAATTTTATCCTCAGCTCTTGGACCAAAGTCCAGGCTTTATTTTCCTATAGAAAAGCAGCACGAAAATTGATAAAATTTAATAAAGCAGAATAGACTTCTTATGTGATCAACGACAGAGCGTGGCAATCTCGGGCGTTAACGACAGCTAACCCAAAAATGCTGAAACGTAATTGCTAGCAAGTACAGACTAGGGACAATTGTTTATTTAATTTTTTATCTTTATTGAGCACACCGATACACAAACATACATTATAGGTGCGAAAAGAAGTTATCGCAGTTCAATGAAAGCGTCCATTATAAAATGTATCCAACGTAGTGTGATGTGTGCGACTAAGGAGAGGGAAAGGAATTTTCACACCGGCCTTTCCTAATTAAGCCGGGCACAGGGCCCCAAAGAATGAGATACAATGTGGGTGGGGATGAGAAAGAGGATAAATGAGTGATGGGTCTAAAGCCTAAGGAGAGGAAGATGCCAGAGCATGGGAGTCACCGGCTCTAAATCCTAGAATATGACGTAAAGTGAGACGGGAATCGAAGGGTCATAGGCAGCCAGATCTCAGACAGTCAGACAATGGCTTTAACTTGTAGAGGCGAGCAATTGATAAGCGGGGTGGAAGCATGGATAAAGAAAAGTCAGAGGCCCTGCAAACAGCATCTGGAACCGATGGTGAAGATGATTATGCCTCACTAGATCCACTTTTAATGACACACTCTTAAGCGACATTGGAGGAAACGAGAGCAGATAATTGTGTGAATAGGTAAATTGGCCATATGAAGTGGAGTTAAGAGAAAGAGATGCAGCACTAGAAAGTATGACAAAAAATAGAGAGGAGTATTGCCACGACGGTTGCACAGAAAATTGGTAAAAGGGATTGCTTTCAATTGCCACTTTAATAAGCTGTAACTCTATGCTCACGATAATGTCTCTCATTGACGAGGCAAGGAAAAGTTAATGAATGTACCAAGTCAATGGCCCGATGCGTAAAATCTTGAATACTATGGTAGATGATGCATGACTAGAATGGTGTTACAGGGTTTCCGTGACCAAGTTGCAAAAACGAAGTGAAGCCAACATTATACAGCTAAAGGAGACTGCGACCAAACAGGACACACCATCTTGGTCTTCATGTCGACATATCAAGCTAAAATTAAAAAGCGACTGATATGTTATAATTTCTGTTTTGGTCGCAGACTCCTTTCGCTCTTTATCATGACTACAAGAGCAGAGGACTTAGAAGAAGGTACATTCATCATAATCTTCCTGCCAAAATTGCGAAAATGGGGCCAAAACGCTTCCAAAATTTAATAGGTTTCCTGACTGACAACTCAAAAATAGTGTGATACCTGTCTCAGGCGTTGCTCAAGAAAGGCACGTGTGTCCACAGAGCTGGATTCCAGAGAACCAAGTTCTTCAACGCCTTCTCTTTTCTTGGTAAGACTCATTTTGTCACTATCATAACGGTGCTCATCAGCTGTATCAATGCGGCTAGACTGACGCTCCTCATCTAAGTCTTGGTCGTTGAAACAGATGCGAAATTCGGACATTGTTCCAGCAGTATTACTGGAGCACCGTTTGGCCATTTGGACTGGAATAGAGCTTAAGCTATCTG